TAGCGTCGCGGGGGACGGAGGTCTACACAGCTCAGGACCGTTTATTCTTGGTTCCTACAGCGCCACCGTTTATCATCTAACATTTTTTTATTTTTTATTATTATTTTTATATTTATTATTATATTATATATCAAATTTTAAATCATTTATATAATATACTTAGAATTTTTAATATAACAAATTAATAAAAAATGTAACGTTTAATTTGCATGTAACGGGATGAACAGAGATATACATATACAATCCTAAAGATCTTCGCGACTTAAAGGTGATAGTTTAAGAATAAAATGTGATATATACATTAATTATAATATTGCAAGATATTTCAATATGTTACATATACGTTATATATACATATTCTAAAGTTTACATCATATATTATTTTCCAAATATGAATTTGTATAATGTACTTTGAACATTTATTTATATATGTTATGTATATATACTGTTCAATATGTTTTAAATTTGATCATCTGTGATTCATTTACATTAAACTCTTTAAATTTTTTTTATCATATTTATTTTTAACATTTTTTAATTTGCACTTTGACTAAAATTTATTATTTTTTATAAACTACTAAATGATTAATATTTTGGCATTTATTTAGAAAATTGATTGATTATAAGAATATAAAATGATCAAAATTATATTATAATCTACGAATATACTATTCAAATAATAAAAAATTGAATATTAAATAAAATTGTATAATAATCATCAGTTATTAAAAATTATTTATATTAATATAATAATATCTTTCTAATTCCTATATATTTAAAATTAAATTTAATTACAATAATTCAGTTCACATGATTCAATATAATATTTCAATACAATGATTCAAAACGAAAAATAAAATACAATAAATCAGAAATAAAAAATTATAAAATTATAAAAAATCTATTATGTAAATAAAAAAAATATTATAATTATAATAATTATAACATTCATTTTTATTATTATTAATATATTAAATATTATTTATTTTATATTTTTACATATCTTTATATAGAAATTCAATATATTACAATATTATACTTTATATTTGTTCAATTCATTTTCTTTAATTTTAAAAATAATACAAACATATATTTATATCTCATATTTCTGTTTTCATATGTTTATAAAATCTATTTATTTCTATATTTTTATAAAATTCAGTTTATTTTTTGATGGTAATGAAATTTATTTGTGAAAAATGTACATACAAGTAAGTTAAAGTAATATATACGGCACTGTACGGAGCACAAGCAAACTCGCTGCCTTTGCGGCTGGGTAGAAGGGAAGAGAAGGGTTGGGTAGGAAGGGAAGAGTAGAGAAATGACGCGAAGGGGCAGAGGGACTGTGAATAGTACGGGTAGGGATATCGGCCGTTGGCGGAGGAGGGTATATGGTTGATCCTGGCCGCGCACATACGAAAGTACGAGAGAGATGAAATGAGCATGTGAACGAGCAAAAAGGAACGAAACAGTGCAAGAGCCCGGCAACGATGCATTACGCATGGCAACGTCGCAAAAGGCTTCATGGACGCCAAGCAATCCACCAACACACAAGTGTACGGAGAACGGCAGCCAGAGAAGGAAAGAATCCCGTTTTACCGAGTTGAAGGAGATAGAAAGAAGAGGGAGGGGGCAAATACACGAGAGAATGAGAGATCTACTGAGTCTTAAACAGGCTACGAAGTTTTCCACCGATCTCTTGAGATTTCAGAAAAAACGTTCGACATATTTTAAATAAATATATCCACATATATATTTATATAAATATAATAATTTTTTTGCCTAATATTATTTTACTATTAAATTATATTTTACTATAAATTATATTATATTAAATACTGAAATGTATTATCTATACATATCATTTATTATATATTTTACAAACTAAAGAGATTTTATTATCGTTTGTCGGTATCAAACTTTATAATAAATCGTATTTAATATGTAATAATTATATGTATAAGAATATATTATATTTTCGTTGAAAAATATATATATGATTTATAAATTTTGATAGAAGAATTATTAGATCTTAAAGATTTATGAAAATATATTAATAATTTTATTTCGAATTCTTTTAATTTAAAATTAATTATAAATTTAATTTTTCTATATTTTTAAATTTAAAATGTTCTAAATCAAATATTTTTTTAATATAATATATAAGTAAATCTAATATTCGCGTAGTTGAATAATAAGAAACAACAAATTAATTTTTATCTTACAATCGTGAATTCTCATTATGCTTTGCAAATTTTTAATTTGTTTCAAGATAAATAAAATATCGTATCTGAACCAGACTCAAACACCAAGAATCCAGGGGCGTAGACTGACATAAATTATATACCATTTCTTCTTTATCGATAAAAGTGATTTTGATGCTGAATCATCATTTTTCCTTTTTATTTCGTTCATATAAATACTCTGATGTTTAAAATATCGCCAATCGATACATTACACTTCTTGTACTGAGAAATAATAACAGAAGTGAAACTGTAAAACAATAACACTGATTACTCGATGGCAAAAGGGTGTGGCAGCGCCATTGAGTCGTTACTCGCAGGAATATAGCAAGTAGTGGGATAATACGTGTGATTGCGTATATTTGTGTGCGCGCACGCGTACATATATATGTATGTAAGTGAATAAGCGAGAAAGAAAGAAAGAAAGAACAGAAATAAGTGGGACGAAGAAAGAAGTGACTGAAGTGCAAAAGAAATGGATAGAATAAAAAGAGAGACGAATATATAAAAAGAGAAATAGAAATGAAGAGAGAAAGAGAAAGAGAGAGAAGGTAGAAGTGGCGGAAACTCAGAGCGGTGGAGTGTGGATGGGGACAAGGATGAACCACCTTAAAGGGGATAGCATGAATCATAAGTAATCAATATTATACCTACGACCGATATAGAAAAATTTTGGACGACATTTAATTTCTGAACATATATAAAAATTATAATTTCAGATTTTCATCTTCTTTTTAAATAATATTTGCAATAATAATTAAACATCTTTAATTTAAAAACTTTATTAATTAAAGAAATATTACTTATTTTTAATTTTCTTTTAATACTAATATATATAATATATATATATATATATATATATAAGGTTTGCATCTTAAATGTTAAATTTTATATATACATTTTTTTAATTGATAATAATAT